CAGGCTCGACCCCGGCCGACGGGTAAACGTGGCCAAGTGTCGGCCCGTGTCCGCACACGTGCAGTGGGTCACCCGCTGACGCGCAGGGGTGAACTGGTCAACCCCCCCATCCTGTAGGTCAGCACCCGCCACCAAGTTCGTAGAGAACGAGGGGAGGTAAAGACCCGACAGGGAGCCAGACGGGACCGCTGGACACGGTAGGACAGTGGAGTAGTGGGCAAGAACAGGACCCTCTGCGAGTACGCTGTTGCTGCTGCTGCTGGCGCGTACCACCACCGGAGCCGACCCTCTGCGTAGAGCCGCCCCGACCCGCTCCACCTCCGCCGCCGCTACCTCCACCACCGCCTCCTCCTCCGCCGCCACTGCCTCCACTAGTGCCCCCACTCCCACCACCACTCCCACCACCACTCCCACCGCCACCCCCACTCCCTCCGCCTCCTCCACTGCCGCCTCCACCGCCTCCGCCAGCTCCCCCAGCGCCCTTGCCCCCCTTGCCCTTGCCTGGGCGGCGTCTCCCGCTAGAGGTAGAAGATGCAGCGACCGACTCAAGACCAACAAGGTCGACCGCAGCAGCAGAGGCAACAGAGGGCAAGAGGGGGGAGGGGGAGCACCCCTCAAAGACAGGGGTACGAGGGTCACCACGAGAGGCTCCTACAGCAACTATGCTCTTCTCTGCTGCTAGGAGACGCTCCTCGAGGAGGTCAACGGTGAGAGTGGTGGGGCAAACAGAGAGAAAGTGGTCCCTGACCGAGCGAAGGGTGTCAGGGAGCCGGGTGACTATGTAGTAGAGGGTGATGTACATGGGGGGGGGGTTCTTGGCGCAGAACTCAGCAGGAAGCGCAGCGCGGTAGCGGATATCACTAGTGCGAAGGTGCGTAATGAGGTCAGCGACAGTGGGAAAAGCGGCGAGGTCAGGGAAGAGGTACGGCAGCATGAGGCGGCTAAGCGCAGCAGTGGCAGGGGAAGAGTAGCGTGCAACTACAGCGTCGTACAAGGTCTTAGCACTCTTGTACTGACTAAAGTGCGCACGCTCAGCGGTCGGCAAGTACAGCAAGGCGGGCAGCAGCATCGCGCGTGGCCCACTGTGAGCGAACAGTGGCGTCAGCATCAGCAGCAGGTGCAGGAGAGGCACCAGAAGTGAGGTCAAAGAGGGAGAGACCGTCCACCCTATCGCTCAGCAGGAAAAGCTGCAGGTCATCTACCCAGACGTCAAAGTCAATGGCCCGACCCTCAGCATCAAAAGTGAGGACACTAGGGGTAGCCATGACAGCAGTGGCAGCAGTAGCAGCAGTGGCAGTAGTGACAGCGCAGTGCGGCGACACTCTTACCAGGGCAGAGAGCCGCAAGTGGTGGGGCAGGGCCGAGGCGCACCGGCAGGGACGAGCCGAGGCGCGCAGGTAGGGCCGAGGCGCGTCGGTAGGGCCGAGGCGCACCGGTGGCTGCAGTCAGCGGCGGCGGCGGCTGCAGTCCCGAGGGAGGCGGCGGCGGCTGCTGCTGGGGACGGCTGCTGCAGCTGCGGCTTCCGCGGCAGGGACGGCGGCGGCTGCTGCTGCAGGGACGGCGGCGGCTGCTGCTGCTGCAGGAACGGCTGCGGCTGCTGCTGCGGGGACGGCGCGAGGGGTCGCGAAGGGCGGCGCGGGGGGCCGCGGAGGGCGGCGACGGGCCGTGAAGGGCGGCGCGAGGGGCCGCGGAGGGCGGCGACGGGCCGTGAAGGGCGGCGCGAGGGGCCGCGGAGGGCGGCGACGGGCCGTGAAGGGCGGCGCGAAGGGCCGCGGAGGGCGGCGACGGGCCGTGAGGAGGCCGCGAGGGGCCGCGAAGGGCGGCGCGAGGGGCCGTAAGGGGCCGCACGAGGGGCCGTAAGGGCGGCGCTAGGGGCCGTAAGGGGCCGCGAGGGGCGACGCGAGGGGCCAACGAGCGGCGCGAGGGGCCGTAAGGGGCCGTAAGAGCGGCGCGAGGGGCCGTAAGGGCAGCGCGAGGGGCCGTAAGGGCGGCACGAGGGGCCGTGAGAGGGGCCGCTAAGGGAGACGCGAAGGGGCCGTGAGGGGCCGAAAGAGGGCGCGACGGTAGGGAGGGCACACGGGGCGCGACTCGGGCAGGAGCAAAGCGCGCTCCGGGCAGGAAAAAAAAAATCGAGGTGGGCCCTAGGAAGCGTTACCACTAGGGAACCTGCTCTGTTACCATGTGAAAGAACGAGGAATGAATGCATTGAGCAGCATGAGGAGTACAAGTACCAAACCCTAAAGTGTTGTACCCCATGTAAGCTACCCCACTACAGCCTACACAGACTATAGTATATGAGTTTGACACCCAGATGCGGTTGGTGCCAACTGTTACGTAATAATATCCCTTAGTTTCAGTCATTAGCTGAAAATTTTTGGTGGTGAAAAAGGGGTTGGTGCGATATATGTGGATTGATTAGGCCTCTTAGCAGTGGGTTGATTTGGGTGAGTAGAATGGTGTGAAGTTGGGTAGTGGGGTGGGTGAGAGCGTCGGTAACGTTGGATGCCCCATTTTTTGTACGTGACGGTGTATTGAAAATTGGTCTTCATGTTGTCGTATCTGTCGCGGATTGAGATTGTTTGGGTGCAGAGGTAATGTAGTGATCGATGGTCTGTCCATACTGTCACGTCAGCTCCTGGGAGGTAGCACGGACATACTTTGAACGCATGCACGATGGCCGGCGACTCGCAATCATGTATCGGGTGGTTGCGCTCGGGCGGGTGAAGCTTGTGGGACTCGTACACGAGTGGCTGAAGGTCGTTCCCAAAGTCCTGCAACAACACTGCTCCCATTGCGATATCGCTTGCTTCGGTGATGAGCTCGAACGGACGGTGCAGATCGGCGATATGAAGTACGGGCGGCAAGCACAAAATGTTTTTTTAGGGCCGAGAAGGCAGCTTGCTCTTTCTCCCCCCACGTGTACTCAACCCCCTTCCTCAGCAGGTCGGTCAACAGGGCAGTCAGCTTCGCCATGTCGGGGATGAACTGTTGCACGTAGTTGGCGAGCCCCTGAAAACTCTGCAACACTGTCAGATTTGTCAGCGCGTGCCAGGCTTGAATCGTGACGATCTTCTTTGGGTCTAGTTCTATGCCGTTGGTCGAAATAACGTGACCTACAAATTCTAGTCTCTCCTGTAAAATCTCACACTTAGAGGCTTTGGTTAGTATGCGGTTCTCTGTCTGTAATTTTTAAACTGCTTCAATGTCCTATAGGTGTTATGCTTGCCAGGGCTGTAAATCAGTATATCATCTAAGTAGACGATCATGCATTTATCCAAGAGTGGGCGAAACACCTCGTTCATGGTCATCTCGAAGGTGACGGGGGCGTTGGCCAGTTCGAAGGAAATCACGGTGTATTTGAAAGAACCGTAGCAGGTGCGAAAGGCAGTTCTTGTCAAACATTATGCATGTTGTAGCTTTGTAGGCTACAGTGGGTTTAGCCTTAGAGGGTACAGAACTCTAGGGTTTCATATTTGTACTCTCATTCCTGTTAGTCACACTCATTCTCGTTCTATTTTCCACATGGTATAGAGCAGGTTCCCTCGTGGGAACTGTTCCTAGGGCCCACCGACTTTTTTTTCCTGCCCGGAGCTCACTCCGCCCCTGCCCGAGTCGCGCTCCCCTCTCACTGCCCCTAGCGGCCCCGTCGCACCGCCCTTGCGGCCCCGTCGCGTCGCCCTCGCGGCCCCTTCTCGCCGCCCTCGCGGCCCCGGCGCCGCCTCTGCTGGCCCCGTCGCCCTCGCGACCCCGCGGCCCCACCCTCGCGGCTTCGTCGCAGCCGCCCGCGACCCCACCGCCGCCCTTCGCGGCCCCGTCGCCACACCTTCGCGCCGCCCGCGACCCCATCGCCGCAGCCGCCCGCGACCCCGTCGCTGCAGCCGCCTGCGACCCCGTCGCCGCAGCCGCCAGCGACCCAGTCGTCGCAGCCGCCCGCGACCCCGTCGTCGCCGCCGCCCGCGACCCCGTCGCCCCACCCGTGCGACCCCGGCGCCGCCCTACGCGGCCCGGTCGCCACCCTTTGTGGCCCCGCCGCCTCCTGTCAGCGGCCCTGCCGCCCTTCACGGCTCCGCCGCCACCACCGAGCAGCCGAGCCGCCGAGACGCCGGCGCCGCCGAGCCGCCGTTGCCGCCGAGCTGCAGGCGCCGCCGAGCCGCCGTTACTGCCGAGCTGCCGAGCCGCCGAGCCGCCGTTACCGCCGAGCTGCCGAGCCGCCGAGCCGCCGTTGCCGCCGAGCAGCTACTGCCGCCGAGCTGCCGAGCCGCCGAGCCGCCGTTACTGCCGTCGCGGCCCTGTTCCTGCCGGCGAGCCTCGGTCCTTCTCGCCTGCCCGGTAAGAGCAGCGCCTCCACCACTGCACTGCCCTTGCCTGCTGCTCGCGCTGCTAGTCTACTGCTGTCATGGCTGCCCCTAGTGTCCTCACTTTTGACGCTGAGGGTCGGGCCATTGACTTTGACGTCTGGGTAGATGACCTGCAGCTTTTCCTGCTGAGCGATAGGGCAGACGGTCTCTCCCTCTTTGACCTCACTTCTGGTGCCTCTCCTGCACCTGCTGCTGATGCTGACCCCACTGTTCGCTCACAGTGGGCCACGCGCGATGCTGCTGCCCGCCTTGCTGTGCGCCGCCACTTGCCGACCGCTGAGCGTGCGCACTTTAGCCAGTACAAGAGTGCTAAGACCTTGTACGACGCTGTAGTTGCACGCTACTCTTCCCCTGCCACTGCTGCGCTTAGCCGCCTCATCCTACCGTACCTCTTCCCTGACCTCGCCGCTTTTCCCACTGTCGCTGACCTCATTACGCACCTTCGCACTAGTGACACTCGCTACCGCGCTGCGCTTCCTGCTGAGTTCTGCGCCAAGAACCCCCCCCCCCATGTACATCACCCTCTACTACATAGTCACCCGGCTCCCTGACACCCTTCGCCCGGTCAGGGACCACTTCCTCTCTGTTTGCCCCACCACCCTCACCGTTGACCTCCTCGAGGAGCGCCTTCTAGCGGCAGAAATGAGCATAGTCGCTGTAGGAGCCTCTCGTGGTGACCCTCGTACCCCTGTCTTTGAGGGGTGCTCCCCCTCTCCCCTCCTGCCCTCTGTTGCCTCTGCTGCTGCGGCCGACCTCGTTGGTCTTGAGTCGGTCGCTGCGGCGTCTGCCCCTAGCGGGAGACGCCGCCCTGGCAAGGGCAAGGGGGGCAAGGGTGCTGGAGGGGCTGGAGGGGGCGGTGGAGGCGGAGGTGGAGGTGGTGGAGGGGGTGGGGGTGGCGGTGGGGGTGGTGGCGGGGGTGGGGGCGTCGGTGGCGGCAGTGGAGGCAGAGGTGGCGGAGGTGGCGGTAGTGGAGGAGGTGGCGCCGGAGGAGGTGGAGCTGGTCGGGGTGGCGCTGCACAGAGGGTTGGCTCCGGTGGTGGTACGCGCCAGCAGCAGCAGCGTACTCGTGAGACCCCTTCCCCCCAGCAGCTTCGTGAGTGGTACACTGCTCGTCAGCGGGGCGGGGGTGCTGGCCCCTGTACCTACGTTCTCCGTACCGGCGACCGCACGGGTGAGCAGTGTGGGGGGGCGCACTCCACCCAGCGCTGCTTCGGCCGTCTGACGGACGCGTGGCGTCACCAGTTCCCCGACGCTACTGAGATCCCTCGCTGGGGCGAGCTGTCTAGGGCGGGTGTTGCGATCTTTGATCTTGATTATGATGCTATTCTTGCTGCCATGTATGCTGTGACTATTAGTGATGAGGGTGACTGTTACCGGTGTTTTCCGCCTGACCCAGGCATAGAGGCTGCTGCGCTAGGTGCTTGTGAGGCTGCTGCTCTAGGTGCCAGTGCGTCTGCCGCCCCAGGTGCCGGTGAGTCTGCGCTCTCAGGTACTGCGTCGTCACCTGCCACCCACACCTTCACCCTTGACTCGGGTGCTTCCCGCTCCTTCTTTCGAGACTGCACCACTCTCACGCCGCTCAGTCGGCCCGTTGCAGTCTCCCTGGCAGACCCCTCTGGGGGTCCTGTTCTTGCCCACTACTCCACTGTCCTACCGTGTCCAGCGGTCCCGTCTGGCTCCCTGTCGGGTCTTTACCTCCCCTCGTTCTCTACGAACTTGGTGGCGGGCGCTGACCTACAGGATGGGGGGGTTGACCAGTTCACCCCTGCGCGTCAGCGGGTGACCCACTGCACGTGTGCGGACACGGGCCGACACTTGGCCACGTTTACCCGTCGGCCGGGGTCGAGCCTGTACACACTGACTACTGAGTCTCCTCCAGTCACTGAGTCTGCTCAGGTAGCGGCGTCGGGTCAGGTGTTTGCTGCGGCGTCCAGGTCTGGTCCTGAGTCTGCCCCCTGCTCGTGTCGTCTCCTGTCCCACCGGACTCTCCTCTGGCACCACCGCCTTGGTCACCCCTCCCTGCCTCGTCTTCGAGGCATGGCTTCCCGTCTTCTTGTCTCTGGCCTCCCCCGGTCCCTCCCTCCCCTTCCTCCGGGGCCTGCCCCCACCTGCGTTCCCTGCGTTGAGGGGCGGCAGCGCGCTGCTCCTCACTCCTCCGAGTTTCCTCCGACAGAGGCTCCGCTGCAGACGCTTCACATGGACGTGTGGGGCCCAGCCCGCGTCCGTGGGCAGGGTCACGAGCGTTACTTCCTGCTGGTGGTTGACGACTACTCGCGTTACACCACAGTCTTCCCCTTGCGCAGCAAGGGTGACGTCACTGAGGTGTTGATCGCCTGGATCCGCGCAGCTCGTCTCCAGCTCCGGGAGAGTTTCGGCTCTGACTTTCCTGTTCTGCGTCTGCACTCCGACCGAGGCGGAGAGTTCTCCTCTGACCTTCTGCGGGCCTTCTGTCGTGCACGAGGCATCCGCCAGACCTTCACGCTTCCGGACTCTCCACAGCAAAATGGGATTGCTGAGCGCCGCATTGGCATGCTCATGAACGTCGCTCGTACGTCCATGGTCCATGCGGCTGCCCCCCATTTTCTGTGGCCGTTTGCGGTTCGGTACGCGGCGCATCAGATCAACCTTCACCCCCGGGTCTCCAGGCCGGAGACCTCCCCTGCTTTACTGTGGACGGGGAAGGTTGGCGATGCGTCTGCGTTCCGTGTCTGGGGATCTCGGGCGTTTGTCCGCGACTTGTCTGCGGACAAGCTGTCCTCTCGTGCTGTTCCCTGCGTCTTCCTTGGCTTCCCTCCTGACGCGCCAGGCTGGCAGTTCTACCACCCCACCTCGCGCCGTGTTCTGTCCTCCCAGGACGTCACCTTTGACGAGTCGGTTCCCTACTACCGTCTCTTCCCCTACCGCACTGCGTCCCTCCCTCCCCCGCCGCTCTTCCTTACGCCAGGTCCCCCTCCGGTAGACCCCCTCCCCCCTCAGGGTCCTGCTCCCTCAGGTGTGTCCCAGGTAGATGCAGTCGAGCCTGTCGAGGTAGCTGTTGACTCTGGTACTGCTGGTGGTGCTGGGCCTGGGGGTGCTGGGTCTGGGGGTGCTGCGCCTGAAGGTGTTGAGCTTGGGGGTGCTGCGCCTGGGGGTGCTGAGCCTGGGGGTGCTACGCCTGGGGGTGCTGAGCCTGGGGGTGCTGAGCCTGGGGGTGCTGAGCCTGGGGGTGCTACGCCTGGGGGTGCTGAGCCTGGGGGTGCTGTGTCTCGTAGTACGGCGCCTGAGGGTGCTGGGCCTGCTCGTGAGGCGTCTGGTGGTGCTGGGCCTGGCGGTGCTTCGGGTGCTTCGTCCCGGCGGGAGCTACTCTCTCCACAGGAGCTGCGTGAGTGGTTCGCCCGGCGCTGGCGGCGTGCTGCTGGAGCTGGTGGTGCTGCGGACGCTGGAGGTTCTGCTGCTGCTGAGGGTGCTGGTGCAGAGGGTCCCAGAGGTGCTCGTACAGGGTGTACTGGAGCTGCTGGGCCTACGGGTGCTCCTCCTGCTGGAGCTGGTGGTGCTGCTGGTGCTCCTGGCGCTGGAGCTGCTGCGTCTTCGGGTGGTTTGCCTGGCGCTGGAGCTACTGGGGGTGTTGGCGCTGGAGGTGCTACTGGCGCTGGTGCTGCTGAGGGTGCTGGAGTTGGAGCTGCTGGAGCTGGGGGTCCTCCTGGTGCTGGTGCTCCCGTTGGGAGTGCTGCTGCTGTTCCTGCTGGCACTGGTGGCGCTGCGCGGCCGCGGCCGTACTTCGTTCCGCTCCTTGAGCAGGTTCTTGGTCTTCCGTCCTCTCTTGGTCCTGCTCCTCCCTTAGCGTGTCCGCCTCCTGTCCAGACTGAGTCACAGTTACAGCCAGCCTCCCCGCTTCCTTCTCCTTCTCCCTACACTGGTCCTACTGGAGGTCTTGCTGAGCGTCGTGAGCCTGCGTCTCGCCCTGCGTCGCCTGTCCGTGCTGCTCGCACTAGTGGTCGTGGTTCGCGTCAGCGTCCTCCCCCTGTCCCCGGCACGCACCGGATGTCTCTGCGTCCTTCCACTGCTCCGCTGCGTGCCCCTTTGCCCTCTCCTCCCGCGTCCTCTCTTCCTGAGCTTCCTGACCCTGAGTCGGACTCCCTTCGTGCTGCGCGTCCTACTGTCACACGTCTCCTTGCTACTGTCGTCACTGACCCTTCCTTTGAGTCTACTGCTGCGTCTGCCCTCGTTGCTGAGCTTGTCGACTTCGCTGCTCGCTGTCGCCTAGACTACGCTGCCAGTCTCGTCGCTGAGTCTGAGTCTGTCTGTCCTCCGTCCGTCGGGGGTGAGTGTGCTCTTGGCACGGACGTCCTTGAGGACAGGCAGGAGGAGTTCCAGTGCTTGGCTGCTGCTTCACCTCATCTCGTGTCCATGCTGCTTGCCCCTGAGGGAGACCCGGATGCACTTGACATCCCGACTCCGCGCTCTTACGCGGAGGCGATAGAGGGTCCCTACTCCTCTCAGTGGCAGGCAGCCATGGATGCAGAGATGGCTTCCTGGAAGTCCACAGGCACCTACGTTGACGAGGTTCCCCCGCCTGGGGCGAACATCGTCAGTGGCATGTGGATTTTCAGGGTGAAGCGGCCGCCGGGTTCTCCGCCTGTCTTCAAGGCGCGTTACGTGGCTCGTGGCTTCAGTCAGCGGCAGGGAGTTGACTACTTTCAGACCTTCTCTCCCACCCCGAAGATGACTACTCTTCGGGTACTGCTGCACATAGCCGCTCACCGAGACTACGAGCTGCACTCTCTTGACTTCAGCACTGCTTTCTTGCAGGGCAGCCTGCACGAGGAGATCTGGCTGCGCCGCCCACCTGGCTTCACTGGGACTTTTCCTCCTGGCACCCAGTGGAGCCTCCGGCGGCCAGTCTACGGTCTCCGCCAGGCGCCTCGTGAGTGGCACGACACAATGAGGACTACACTTGCGGCTCTTGGGTTTGCTCCTTCTACTGCCGACCCGTCGCTGTTTCTGCGCACCGACTCTTCCTTGCCGCCGTTCTACATCCTCGTGTACGTCGACGACTTGGTCTTTGCTACAGCTGACACTGCTGGACTTGCCTACGTGAAGTCCGAGCTGCAGAAGAGACACACGTGCACAGACCTGGGTGAACTGCGCAGCTACCTTGGCTTGCAGATCACCCGGGACAGAGCACAGCGCACCATTACCCTGACTCAGTCACATATGGTGCAGCAGGTCCTTCAGCGCTTCGGCTTCACGTACTCCTCGCCTCAGGCCACTCCTCTGCCTACACGCCACTCGCTCTCAGCTCTGCCTTCGGATGAGTCCGTAGAGTCGAGTGGCCCGTACCCAGAGCTTGTTGGCTGCCTCATGTACCTGATGACCTGCACTCGACCTGACCTTGCATACCCTCTTAGCATTCTTGCACGCTATGTTGCTCCTGGGAGACACAGACCAGAGCACATGGCTGCAGCGAAGAGGGTGTTGCGCTACTTGTGCAGTACGTCGGGCATGGGGCTTGTGCTTGGAGGGCAGAGTTCAGTGGTCCTCACTGGTCACGCAGACGCTTCTTGGGCTGACGACCAGGCTACGCAGCGGTCGTCACAGGGTTACACCTTCAGCCTTGGTTCCGGCTCTGTTTCGTGGCAGTCTACCCGCTCGTCTTCTGTTCTCGGCTCCAGTTGTGAGGCTGAGATCTACGCAGGGGCCATGGCTGCACAGGAGCTACGCTGGCTCACCTACCTGCTGACTGACCTGGGAGAGCCGCCTCGTTCTCCTCCAGTGCTGTACGTAGACAACAAGGCCATGCTGGCCTTGTGTCGAGAGCACAGACTGGAGCACAGAACGAAGCACATCGCTCTTCGCTACTTCCTTGCTCGTGAGCTGCAGCAGCGTGGTCAGCTGCGCCTTGCTTACGTGGCCTCTGAGGCCAACACTGCTGATATCTTCACTAAGGCACTCGCGCCTTGTGATCATCAGCGCTTCTGTACTCTGTTAGGTCTTGTGCCTACCTTGCCTCACTTGCTTACTTCTTGACCTTGCTTGTACTGTTACATATATATACCTGCTCTTGCTTGTTTAGCGTTATATATATGTAATCTTGCATGTGAACTGGCCTTGTGGCCTTGAACTTGTGCTCAGACTGTGTGGTGACGTTGTGATCCACCCTGAGCTTGCTTTGCCTTGCTTTGCTTGACTGGTCTTGTGACCCCTTGTTCTCCCCCACTTTGCCTATGGGGGTGTGTCAAACATTATGCATGTTGTAGCTTTGTAGGCTACAGTGGGTTTAGCCTTAGAGGGTACAGAACTCTAGGGTTTCATATTTGTTCTCTCATTCTTGTTAGTCACACTCATTCTCGTTCTATTTTCCACAGTTCTTAGGCAGTCGATGGGGTTGACGCGAACCCCCTCAAAGGTCAATATTCGAGAAAACGTGTGCTGTACGAAGTTGGTCGATGAGTTCGTCGGCTCGCGGGATGGATAATGGGACTTGATTGTATGTATGTTCAGTGCGCGGTAGTCTATGTACATGCGAAAACCCTCGCCTTTTTTCGGTGTGAACATCATTGGTACGGCAAAGGGTGATGAACTCTGGCGAATAAACTTCTTCTCGAGCAAATAATCTGGTTAATTCCACAGTTTGTCCAGTTCGGGTTGGGTCAGTCAGAACTGTTATTGTGCTGTCGGCTGTGCCCCCAGTTCTTTTTATATACTATGGTTGTACGGTCGCTGATGTGGGAACCTCTCCGGAATAACATCAGGGAAAATCTCGCTGTATTGCTTCAATAACACCGCTAATTCATCCGGTGCGTCGGTGAGCAGTTTCTGCAAATTGCATAATTTGTTTGTTGCCTCGGCTTCCCAGATATCGACCGCGTACACGTTAGCACCTGCCACTACGGCGCGTTTCATCATGATGGCGTCGACTCAAACCAACAAAGGCTGAGGTGAGCTCCAGCAATGTAGGGAAACGTTGTTACCGTTGACATGCATGGTGCAATCATCCGTCATCCAGTCTATTCGCGGATTGTGTCGTTGCAGCCAATCGCAACAAAGTAAAATATCGGTCACGTCGAGTGTTGTAGCCAGCATTTCATGGGTGAAGGTGAAGTAAACTCTGCAGCGAATCTGGACTCGGTCCACGCATTCTCGTATCGCCATTGGTGTGTCGACAACCAGTCGTGCGTTGATCTCAGGTAAACACCATTCCAGTGTCAGTTTAAGTCATCGTGCAGTGGCATTGTTTATTAGGCTATGGCTAGTACGAATATTTAACTAAGTCAGTATGAATCTTCCTGTTAATCAGTATGGGACTATCTACCGTACAACGCTCCATGTTTGGCCGGATATGGTCGACTGCATGAATCGGCACTTGTTATAACCACAATAGGTTCAAATGTGCCTAAAAGGGAAGATAGAGTGCACAGACGGATTTCTGCACAGCAACTTCAAATGTTGATAGCGTTCGGGTCACCCTTCCAAATGATATGCTACAAATTGGATATGGAGCGTCTTAACGTCTCTTACAACTAGCAATTTGAATCTTACGATTTCATCAAGTATTGACGACGCAGCATCAAGGCTTAACCTCAATCCGCCACAGATTCGCTGATTGGACTGTTTGGAGTCCAACTTCAACTATACAGTCAGGTACATGAAGGGAGCGTCGAACATTTGCTGAAGCACTTACCCGCCCCACTGCCCACAGGCGTCCTCCAAAAGCATAGTCCTCGTGGTCTCCTCTGGTCGCCAGCAGTGGGTCCAGGCACAGTAGGCCAAGGGGCAGCAGGGATAGGAGAGAAGGGAACGGGCCCACCTAGGGGGGAAGCAGGAGAGGTGGTTATGACTCTTTTGGGGGGGGACGGGACGGGGGACCTGATGCTCATTGATGGCTCTCTGGCCCACTACCTCACCCCCACGGACGGGGACGACAGAGACCCTCCGCTGTCCCATGGTGAGACCTCCCCTTCTCCCCCACTCCCAAACCCCATGCTAGCAGGTGGTCCAAGGGAGGAACCAGAGGAGACCACGAGGACTATGCTTTTGGAGGACGCCTCCATCCACCCCTGCCTTTCAGCCCACCCTCCCCTAGGAATACCCCTCCCATGCCCCAGCAGGCACTCTCATGTTATAGGCGGGGCAGCCAAGGCCAGGGCTTTCTTAGAGGAGCCCTGCTCCCCGACCCCGGACACTCAGCCCCTACCTCCCCACCCACCAGCCCCCCCCCCCCTTCCCACAGTGGTACACATCTCCGAGGTGTTGGGTTCAACCTCTAATTCCCACTCCATGCTCTCCACACCTCCGACCCGCCACCCCTTCCATCACCTCCCCCGGGCTGGTGGGAGCGACCCACAGGGACCAGGCCCATCGGCACAGAGGGGTGAAGAAGCCCTGGTGGAGGGACTTACAGAGAGAGGGTGTGGTGATAGGAACGCCCGGGGCAACACCCCTCATAAGGACAAGCCCCAGAACCCACCCCGTCTTTCCACCCCTCCACCTCCACCCCTATCATCACCTTCGGCCTCCCAGCCTCAGGCAGCTAGTCCCAACCGTTACACCATCCCACAACGTCGCTCTCCACCTGCACCTTTAGCTGCCCACCTCCGTGAACCGAACCAACCAGCACCTCTTGCCACTCCACAGGGCTCTAGAGGAGATGAAGGGGGGATTCGTGCTGGGCCCTCACCCCTCGTTAATGCTTTCGCTCAGACCTCACTCCTCCCACCGCAGGTACAACACCCTAACGTGTACATCACTCCAGCCCTTCGCTCCCCACCCACAAACCCCTCCTTCGGCCCCCTTCCCCACGAGTGGCCCCGCTGGGCAGCCATCGCCCCCCACGCACAGCCCACCCGGCCTTTCCCCACAGAGGGAGATGCCTTGGGGAGGGAGGGGATGAACACTGAGCTCCCCCCACCTGGCCAACCACCCATGCTCCCCCCACCCACCCCCTCGGCCTCTCAGCCTCCCCTTCCCGCACCAGCAGGCATGGATGGACAACACCAGGTTGGCCGCCGACGGAAGAAGAGAGACAAAGGCGGCAAGGGGTCAGCTCATTTACTCCCCCCTCCCTCCCTTCCCCCCCAGGCGCCCCTCCTCACCCCACATCCCGCTGAACTTGCACCAGGCCTCACCCCTAAAGTCCAACCACCAAACACACACCCCTCTCCTGTACCTGCCTCTCCACAGGGCCATGGGAGCAATCCAGCCCACCCACTCCCGGGACGCCTCTCCCTTCCTCTAAACCCCCCCCAGGTGGCGGCAACCGCAGGTGCCGCCGGGATGGAGGCCGACGAGAGGAGGGATGTGCCCATGGCAGACACTACCGACTCCTCTTCCAATACCTCCCACCCCATTCATGTCGACGGCCCCTTACCGCAACTTATGGTCTTTGGGGAGAGCCAAGGGGTTTTTTTTAGAGCAGGAACCATACCCGAGCTCCGCTCAGCCAGCACGCCCCACCCCACCCTCTACCCTGCCAGCCCTCCTACCTTCACCACCAACGGGCCAGGTCACCGGGACCCCACAGGAGGTGAGGGCTGCCATCTCAGACCTGCTGGCGATACAGAGCCCCAGCAGATCCCCTTCATCGGCCTCTTCTACGGGACGCCCTCGGACCTCCACTACAGGTCAGGTACGGGAGTGGTCACTACGGAGATTCACTCTACAACGGTAGTGAGCTAGACTACGGGGTTGGCACGAACTACTAGGAGTGATCGTAGCTTTGCTTGGTTCCTTAGTGCTTGCACATTCACGGGAGAAATTGGCAAGAGTTTCACTAGGCAAAGTTGGAATTACAGAATAGTTCAACAAGCAATGACAACAATGACTACATCAGGCACCTAGCAACCCTGCAGCTAGCCTGGTCGACCGCCAGCACAGCTTGGTCGACCGCCTGCCAGCATTGCGTAGAGGAGCCGCGCCAGCACTGCAGAAGGGCGACCTGCCAACGCAGCAGGTCGACGGCGTGCCAACACTGCAGCAGTGCGGCTGTCCAGCGTTGCCCCGTAGAAGACAGCAATGCGCATGCTCGCAGGTGCGCGCAGACGATTGGCCCGACTTGCTTCGTTGTGCATCCGTCGGCTATTGTCTGCGCCTGACGAGCCACATCGACTTCGAGATACCAGCCCGAAGTCGCCTTCGTCATCGCGACCTCGACGACGTTCGCGTGCCTCCGCAGAACTCGCCGAGCAGGTTACCTGGTCGACCTGGACACCACCAGGTGCTCTGGTCGACCACCAGTGCCTCCGGTCGACCACCAGGTGCCTCTGGTCGACCACAGCTCCCTCTGGTCGACCACCAGGTGCCCCTGGTCGACCACAGCTCCCGTCGAGCTACGGTCCGTCGACCAGAACTGTCAGCTGGTGTCGTCGAGCTCCCCTCGACGCCTGCTGCTCACTTGTCAGGTCAACGGACAACTCCGTAGACCTCCCAGTCGACCTGTAGGTCGACGGACAGCTCTGACAACCTCCCGGTCGAGCTGCAGGTCGACGGACAGCTCCGACGACGTTCGAGCTGCAGGTCAACGGACTGCTCCGTCGACCTCCCGGTCGTACTCCTCCTCCTGTTCGACCACCCACCCGTCGCCCAAACCAGTTAGTTGCAGCTGTCGAGCTCCCTAGTCAACAGAAACACCACAGCGGTCCCCTGCAGCTCGACGAAGCCTGTCGAGCAGCTCTCCCACTGTGAACGGTCGGCTGCTACTCTTGTACATCTGACCGAATCGTCGGCATTGTCCAAGCGAGGGCGGGGCCAACACACCACTCTTGTTAACAGACACGATGCACTCGAAGCGTGGCACTCACCAGGGAGACCCCCTCAGCCCCTTTTTGTACGCTCTAACGCAGTGTCTTGCCTTGGAGCCGGTTTTGACATAGGGGGATGTCCAACTTTGGTCATACGCTGATGACACGTACGTGCTAGGTCCCCCAGACAGGGTGCTACACCACTTCGCCGAGATCGTGAGGCGCTTGGGCGAGATGGGCCTTGCGGTCCAATCGCACAAGTGCCTCGTCTACCAGACAGAGTCCTTTCTGTCCAGGGATTTGGAGGCTTTCACGAGCCTGGGGATCGAGGTCGCACGCCGAGGGCTCACCGTGATAGGCGTGCCGGTAGGCAGCGTCTCGTTTGTGGAGCGCAGCCTCCCGGACCGTCTCGAGAGGATGGGGCGGGTGCTACCTTGGCTTCCGAGGTTGCGCCAGCCCCAGACAGACGCCCGCCTTCTTTCAACGTGTGTCAGCACTCGTCCGCAGTACTTGTCGAGGACCGTCCCTCCCTCGCCCGCAGTGCTCTCCAGCTTCACACGGTGGGACACACGGTTGGGAGAGACTTTTCAGCAACTTTTAGCGCCAGGGACGTGGGCTTGTCGCGAGGACGTCCGAGAGGCCACCCTAGATCAGGTCTTCTTCCCCATCCTTCCCCGAGCCGCCTTCTGGATGCGCATGTTTTGGAGGTCGTGCGTGCCCGTCACACCTCTCCCTTGCACCTTGCCCGTTTGACTTCCCTTCAGGGCGGAGGTGCAGGAGCGTGGTTGCAGTCGGTGCCGTATGCCGATCCACTACGCTTCCCGGTGGCAGGTGGCTTCATTATCCCGCCTAGGTCTCCCTATCCCCCAGTTAGCCCTTGCAAGCCAGTGCTCCTGTGGACAGGCGATCGACGACATGACGGTGCCTCACCACGCAGTGCGGTGCCCACGTTCTAGCGTCGCCACTACCATCGACGACACTGTGAAGTTCATGCTTCGAGATTTTGCTGTCGAAGCGGGCTTCGCGGTGAAGGTGGAGGACTCTTTGCTGTTCACGCAGCTAGAGGCAGCCTGGGCGAGACTGCAGGGACAGCCGGCAGTGGGAGAGGGGGCGCGAGCTGAGGGGCCGTTGGAGCAGGGGGGCGAGGCAAGACAGCCGGGCGGCGGGGGGCAGTGGGGACAGCATCAGCTGCGTGGCCGGGTGGCGCGAGGGGTGGGTGGGCAGAGGGGACGGCAGGGGGAGCAGTCCAGCCACGGCAGGGAGGGGGGACAGCAGGGGCAGCATCAGGAGAGCCAGCAGATGCCGCAGGCTCCAGGAGCTACGTTTTCGGGCTCGGGCTCAGGGGTGGGGCAAGGGCGAGAGCAGCAGAGAGCGGACAGATGTACAGGGGGGGGAGTGAGATTGGGAGGGGAGGATCAGGGGGTGAGAGAGGCAGCAGGGGATCGAGCAGAGGGGTTGGGAGGGGTGGAGGAGGGTAGAGAGGGGGAGGGGAGAGGACAGGTGGGTGGAGGAGAGGATAGGGGGAGAGAGACGACTGGAGAGGAGGTACCGAGGGACCAAACAGGGCAGCAGCCAGCGCAGCAGCAGGGACCAGCCGGACGCACAGGCCGAGTAGGCACCCCCTCTCGCATCCCAGACCTCACCTGCCGCGATGTTGGGCAGACGTTGATGGTTATTGTGGATGTCTCCATAGCAGTCCCACAGCGGGAGGGGAACGTGCAGCTGAGACGGGCGACCCCCACACAGATTGGAGTGGCAGCAGCTAGGCGGGTGTAAGAGAAGCTGCGTCACTGGGGGCCGCACTTAGAGGGGTTGCAGCCGGCACCACACTTTTACGCGTGCGTGGCAGAGACCTTTGGCCTTCTGAGCGAGCCGCTGCGTCAGTTTCTGGGGCTCTGCGCAAAGCGGATAGCACAGTGGAAGAGGGATAGAGCAGGGAGGGATGACAGATCGGCACGGATATTCGAAGCAGGACTCACTACACGCCTCTCCGTAGCACTGCAGCGCGCGCAGACTCAATGCATCATCCAGCATGCGGTGCGGCAGTTGGGGGGATCCGATGACGGGTGGATGCCCGCACCAGTCCCACTAAGTGCGGGGCAGGGTACCTGGCACCACATCACAAGGTGCTTCGAGAGCGTTGCCGACATGCAATATATATATAGATATATATGTATATATATGACGCATATGTGTTAAAAAAAAAAAAAAATTTGTGCTTGAAACATTGTACCTGCGCTGTCGTGCGGGTTGCTGCCGTGTTTGGTCCCTTGGTGCTTCCTCCTCCTTAGTCTCTTTCCCTCTCTCCTCTTCTCCTTCCCACCTCCCTCTTTCCCTTCCCTTCTTCTATCCTTCTCTTGTCTTCTTACCACTCTCTTCTATCCCCTTCTACTTCTTCTTACTCTTGGATCCTTTCTTCTTCTTTCT